GAGACCCAGAGAAATGAAGGATCATCCCCAAAGTCACACTTTAAAGTGACAGAGCGTGGCCTCTGAATTTCCCATCTAATTCCCTGTCCTATACGCTGGGGAATAATCTATGGAACAAAATCATCAGTTCCTAAATTTCAAGGTGCATGGCTACCAGAGTGTCTGCTCCAGTTTTATTACTTACATATTTTTCTGGACTCTAAATGCACTTGGAAAAAATCAAAAGGCTAGAACCTTGGTGGGAGCGGCTCTCATTGTGCCCACACGCCCTTCCCTTTGTTATTATTTTCTTTAAGAAATACAAAACCATTTTCACTGTGAGCCAGGAGCTGCAAGCTGGTACAGCTTGCCTCCGTGGACTGGCTGCAGTAGCAATGAAGAAGGGACACGCTTCAGTTCCCAGGACAATAGTCTCTTTGACTGGGAATACACCGAAGCAGAATTACAAGTGTGCAAGAATAAACAAGGCTGGAGTCAATCTAAAGTTGTTTTACACTCTGTTTTATTAAAGTCAATGCATTTCCGTTCCTATGTGCTGCGCCTAGGTCTGCTTAATTGTAGACACCCGGGGTGAATGCTAATGGAGGGAGAGGACAGTCTGTGATGGGAAACCAAGGCACTTTTCTGACCTCTACAGGCCATTTGGAGAAAAAAAGGAACCTGCTTCTGGAAAATTACCGAGCAGAAGGCCCCGCAGACCAGGGGCTGAGGGAGATTTTTCCTGGATGCTTCCTTGCTGCTCTAAGCGTGCTGGACACAGGCACGCCCTACTTTCCTTCAGCTCTGCTCTCCATGTTTAACAGGTTACCGAGGCGATGGGAGGAGGTCACTCTCGAGAGACCTTTGGAATGAAAATTAAGATCTCAGTCATTCAACACATATTTAATGGAGGCCCACCAATTGCTGGGCACAGTGCTAGGTCCTCAGGATATGGCAGTGAACCACATCATCTTTGTTCTTCGAGAATGGCCAGTCTGGCCAGACAGAAAAATCCACAGGCGATACCATGCAGCCAAGGCTATGATAGGGTTTCTACAAGGTGCTATGGGAACTCAGAATCAGATCACAGAAGATGACCTGGAGGAGGGCACATTGAAACAAATGATGAACAGAATCAGGCCCACAGGTGGGAGCAGAGAGAGCATACGTGTAAGGCGCTCTCCGGAACTAAAAGCGATTTTTTGTGACTTCAGCAGGGGCTTGAGTTAAGACAGGAGACTGGAAAGTTAGCCAGGGGCTGGATCAGGGAGGGGTCCAGTGCCGGGTTCCATTTGCATTTTATCCGTAGGACCTTGGGAGCCCACTGAAAGGCTGTAAGCAGCAGAAATAGAAACACATTTTTATTCCAAATATCATCTGACTGCACAGGGAAGAGACGGCTGGAGAGAAGGCAAAACCGAGGGTGAGGAGAACAGCAGGGAAACCATTGCTGATATCCAGGTGAGAAATGAACAGAAAAGAAAGAGGAGTGGACCAATGTAAAACAAAGGTGAGAGTAAGCCTTGACAAGACTGGTGGCTTCATCTGTTTAGCGACGAGCGGAGTGCCTGCCTCGGTCAGACATTGGGCTGTGCACCAGGCACACAAAGAAACAAGACAACACAGATCCCCATTGAGATGATCAAGTTTAGGAACTTGAAGGTGGAGAATTTGGTGGGAGAAGATCATGAGAATCTGACTTGGAACCTGTGAGTTTGAGGGGAAGTGCAATGTTATGCAAGGGTGTCCAATATGAGTTGTTTATATTTGAGTCAAGGAATGAAAACAATAACAACAACACACCTTCCTGGAGGCAGAACTGCTCCGTGGCCTCTAAAAGGCCCTTTGGGGTCTTTGAAGAGAGACACTTTCCTTGGAGTGCAGGCTCAGGAGTCACACGGTCTGTGCTAAAATCATGGTCTGGCTACTTACAAGCTGGATAATCTTAGGCCATTCCTTACCTTCTCCATGCCTCAGCATCCTTATCTATAGGATAAGCATAACAAAAGGGCTTACCTTATAGGATTAGGTTGTAAGGCTTAAACGTGATAAAACATGTGATGGTCTTAGAGTATCATGTATGGTAAGTATTCGTAATCAGCACATGTTTGCTGTAACTGTCTGTTGTGATGGTACAGTTGATGTTTGTCTCCTCTGAAGAAGTGGAAGGAGCATGAGTTGGGAAGTCCGACTTCTCTGGGAGAAGATTCTAGCTCCATCATTTACTGAAAGTGTCTCTTTAAGTACAGCTGAGCTTCATTTTGAGAATGGCAATAATAGTGCCCAATTATTGCACAGAATGGTAGTGGGAGTTCAAATGTGTGGCCACGAGCAGAATATGAATGTAGGCAGGTTTTTCCTCCCCTAATACCTTCTAAAATATCTTCCTCTTCAGACTGAAGTGGGAGTGGGGCAGGGTTGACATTATTCTACCCAAGGATATCCGCTCATTTAATCTCCATATCCTGGATACCAGGGCTGTTGGCCTCCGTGCTTGCTCACTCTGTCCCATTAAATTGATCTCAATGCCATTTGTTCCCCTGACCCCCAAAGACCAAGGCCACACTCAGTCACCTCAACTGAATTGCTCCAAAGAATTGTACTTAATTATTATTTTTATTATTTTGTCAGGGGGGGTGGTCATAATAGTTGTCTACTGCTAAGAAATCATTTTAACCTCATAAGGTCCTACAAATATCTATAGAAGATCATTAAAAGCTCCTAATCAGAATAACCAGTTTGCTCCAGCATTTTAATAGTCCATTGTTCTGCTCTGTTTGGCTACTTGTCATAAGACCCCAATGTGGTTAATTCAGTAATTCTCTCACAAGTACGCATTCTCTTCCAAAGAGACTAGATCCATTTTTCTTCATGACCTGAGCAGGCTCAAAATACACACACACTAGAAGACCAGTTTATGTCATATGCTGATGAGAAAGGGCCTCACTTTCTACCCAGAAGGACTCTGTCTCGATTTCTATGTGACAGCATGGTGTAAAATTGTCACCTAGCTACCCGCTATATGTATAAACATGTGTCTAATGATAAACCTCCCCTTACTCTCTTTGTGTTCTTGCTTAAAGCCCTAGACCTGCCTGTGTGTGTGTATGTGTGTGGGGTGTGTGTGTGTGTGTGTGGTGTGTGTGTGTGTGTGTGGCGGAGAACTCAAGCTCAATTTTAGTTCCATTGTGTTGCAATGTGTGTAATAGATGATTTTAAGTTATATACAACTGTATCTTTTTTTATTATTAGGCACTGAAAGGCTATAATACAATCCATTTTTATCTAAAAATTTCTTTTTACCACTCTCTTTTTTTCTAAACACTTTTTATCAAGAATCAGTTGGGCACTCATGGAGCCAAACAGCAAAACAAACAAAAGAGGACATCTGTTGGGAAGACAGCAGTGGGATCCAGACCTAATGAATTATTTTTGCCCAAAAAAGCTCTCACAGTGAGTACACTCAGGCTACACTGACTGGTGTGTCATTCCAAGACTGGAGCCTTTTGGGGTCTGGAGGGGGTTGTACCAGCAAAGCAAAAGGAATCCATCACTCTAATGGGAATGCAAATGTTCAGATCCACCTTGCGGGCCACTGTCCTGAGTCCCTAACAAGGATGACTTATGCCAGGCATTTTATGGAAGCTCCCTCTCTTGGCAGAGAGCAGAGGTTTCTTTTGGAAGATGAAATCACTCTACAGCTCAGTTGTCCAGGCTGGGAAATGGAAGCTGTGCATGAGAACTTCTCCCCTTAGCGGTATAATGAGATCTTACCTGTATTGGCAACCCTCAATGCGAGCTTGTAACTCAAAGATCAGGTTATGCTCAAATTTTCTTCGTGGCTCTGAATCCTTTTACTGGAGGCCCAGAAGAAACTGGAGCCAATGGATGGGATTCTTGGATTCTCACTGAAAGGATTGCAAGAAGCTCCCAAGCTGCCAAGTTGGCATGACGCACATGGAACCATGTGCCAGTTCTCACCAAAGTGAGCCTACGGTCCAGAGCACCTGGATGAATACTGCAGCCACCGAGACGTCTACAGACTCTGTCCCTCTAGTCTCATCACTTTATCTAAACAATGGCATAATACAAGCAAGGACAAGGCCACCCCACTCTTTGTTAAGCTATCCTCACGTGGGGAGCAGCCTGCCATGGCAACCACCAGCTCGAGAGGCTGGGCTAGACATGTGCTAGATGCCTTTTAGTGAAACCAATTTCTCTTTCTATAACACACACTCTGATCTGAGATGGAAAATGGAGGAATTTAAGGGAAAGATATGGGATTTCATTGAGAAGTTGGTTGTCCAGCTTTGAGGCTGGAAATAAGCTACATTTTTAGCATCTTCAGTGTGTCAAGAAGTCTTTTAGGTACACGGAAAGCGAGAAAGATAATAGTGGGTCAATGCATCTTAGACTTCTCCATCCAATGGCGGGTGGGAGTGGGGCTGTAAAAAACACACCAATAAAGTTGCAAATGGCAAACCTCCTATAAAAGGGATGTCTACATAGTGAAACAGGGGCACAGAGGAGAGATTATATAACTTGGCTTGGGGGGATTATGGAGGGTTTTACAGAAGAAAGGTGATAGTGGTACTGGGTCTTGATACCCCCAAGTGAGGTAATAGGAGATATTTATCAGAGAGAGAGGAAAAATGAGAAAAGGTTTGAAAAATCAAAGAGGGCATTGAGGGAGCTGTGTGACCCAAGAAGTGGTGTGTGTGTGTGTGTGCACACATTTTTTGTGCATGCTCACGCACATGCATAAGTGTGATGAGATAAAATGTAGCTATGTCCCATGGCAAATTGAAACAATTGGAGATTGACAGAGCTTGAGTCTGTAAAGGAGATTGGGGCCAGGTTGCGAAGGGATCTGCTGAGAACTTACAGACTTTCTCCTGTAAGAAATACAGAGCCGAAAAGTGTCTTGCCACAGGGAATTGTCATGAACAGCCAGTGGATTCCACCCTTAGGGGTTCATGGAAGCATGATCACTAGGGGATCACAAGAAGCCTGTGCTTCTCTAGCCACAGTAGAACTATCCTAAGGGTGAAAAGGTGAGCTTCCCACCTCTGCCCATCACAGAAGGTGTGCAAGTCTGACCCAGGAAACTGGAGGTCCTCCAGGCCCCCCAAACCCCAGTCCCAGCCCTGCCATGCAGAGCACAACAGCTGGTACAGGGCAGCGATGCACATGGCCTGGCCCCCACATCACCTCTCTAAACTCTCATCCTTTCTGCACACTTTGAACCATATCTGTTTCCCATCAGTGCCTACCACTCCCTGGAATTCGTGAGTAATCTCATTTGGCTCTGAGTTTCGTAGAACACGTTTCGCAGAACAATTTACTACAGCGGTGTGGCCAGCAAGAGACACGTGTGGCTGGGCTGGAAGAGCTGATCCTATGACTTTCTGGAGTTGACTTGTGAATGAGCCCTCCCCGCCCCATCCTGAGGACTGGTGTGGTGTGACACAGAATGGTCTTTCGTCCCAGCAAGAAGGATGGGAAGTCTGCGCTTTCTCTCACTCCCCCGTTCCTCTAAGAACTTCGTTCTCAGCTGACTGGCACCTGGGTTCAGTTGCTAAGGACTTCTACCCAGGTCCCCAGCTCACTTGGGACATCTCTCCTTCTTCTACTTCTTTTCCTGATGTACCTCTGGCTTCTATGAGTCCTCTTTAGCTGGACATCTCATAGACCCCCAACATTCAACATGGCCCCAAATTGTCCTTATTATCTCTACCTCACCACAAACCTGCTACTCTTCCAATATGGTAATGTCATGCCCAGGGTGCTCCTATGACTGTTGAACAACCAGCATAGTAAGGGTGCCAATCAATGAATCAATCATCAACAAGTAGGGCAGTGGTGCTAATGAGTACCTGTTGACATCAGTCCTGGGCATGCCTCGGCTGAAAATTCTTTTTCTCCCCCAGGACATTCAGAATAAAGTTAAAACTTTTCATCAAGGCACATTAAATGTTGCTTGATGTGATTGACGTCTATCTTTTCAAATTCATCTTTTGTCACTCTCCTCCTTTCCCCACATACAAGCACATCTTTTAAAGCAGTCATATTGAACATTTTACTCTCTAACCCCACCACAGGGCCTTTGCATAAGCTTTTTCCACTTCTTAGAATGCCTTTTCTCCCCTTTTAACCTGGAAACTCCTGCACATCTTTCAAAAATTCCCTAAATTATCTCTTCTTTAGGTAGACTTTTCTCACCATGCGCCCCCTGCCCCCTACACCAGATTAGGTGATTCCATATTATCCTCTGCACAGCTCCATAATAGCATACTCAGCTGTATTAAAATAAAATGCTATTGTTCATCTCTCCCACTTAACTGTGAATAACTGAAGGGTACAGAGTGGGTCTTTTTCTCTACATCCTTTGATCTTAGTAAAGTGCATGCCACCTCGTAGGTGCTTAATATATGTTTGTTACATTGATGCATCAGTAAATAGTCCATGTTCCTGGCTTTTCCTGAACATGCCTCATAGAAATGTACCTATCGGGGTCATTTTCTCTCAGAAACAGGCTAGATGACTAGAAGCTAATCCCATAAATTAATTGGAGCTGAGGTGCCAATCGGTGATGATGACTTAGCATTATTTCTATCCCTCCCAGCATTTACATTTTCAAGAATATAATCTTCTTGACTCCTTAAAGCAAGGAAAAAACAGAAGTGTTATGCTATCCTGCATTTAAGAGTGAAAAGATTGAAGATGGGGGAAGTGTGGGGATGCTGTCAGCTTAGATTTGAATTCAGTGTCTTTGCCATTTCCCTCACACGTCTGAATGCTCTAAGACAAAGGATGGATGTGTGATTTCTGAACGGTAGCAAAGGAATTTGGAAAAGAGTTGGAAAAAGACGGGACTATCAATACTACTACTACTAATAATATCCACTCCCCAATCATAGCACACATGCCTGTTTTGTATGCCTCACAGCTGAATTATGGCAAAGCTTTGTTCTGTGGCTTTCTGCTGGTCTAGAAGTTTAGACTGTGGGTTTTCTCTGAAATTATTCTGTTTCCAAAATCTCTTGGTGGTGGTAGTTACATCAGGAAAAGTCCCTTTGGCAGGTATTTTATCCCCACTATGCATTATTCCCTTTTCCCTTAGTATTAGAATTTCAAATTTCTAGCCTGGCCCATTTCAAATAAAGACTACATTTCCAACCTCCCTTGCCACTACCTGTGGCCATAAGACCACTTTCTGGATGGCGGGATTAAGCAGAACCATTATGCATAGCTTTTTGAAATACAGAAAACACGTTCTTTTTCTGTCCTTCTTACTGCTGAGTGGGATGTAGATGCAAAGGCTGCTGCTTCAGCAGCCATCTTAAACCAAGAGTAGAAACAACCCACAGCAGAGCTAGAAAACTGCTGAAGCCAAGTGTCTGGCACCAAGCACTCGTGATCCCAGCTCTGGCCTGCCCATATCTAGAATTCCACAGGAAAGGTAAACAGACTTCTATCTTACAAAGGCTACTGCTATTTTGGACTTTCCACGTCTCCTAGCCAAACCTAATCCTAACCAAATGCATATGGCACCTGGACAAATGCAATTTGATCTAACTTATTTTCTTCATTTTATCTCCCATTCTAATCTACCTTCCACATCTCACGTCATCCTTTGTGCATAGGCCCTGTACACCTCATCATTCAAATCTCTAAGCTGCATGCTTCCCTCTGCATGCTGAAGGGCCTTACTCCATTTTCACTTGTTCTAAGCTATTTCAACCTCCTAGGCACTGCGCTTATATGACCTCTTTCCCAGATCCCCTCCAGGAAGAGGCTTATTCGCCAACCATGTGACTCCAGCCAATGTTTGTTATATAGAACGCTCTGCTTGTGTTATGGAGGAAAATAAGCCAACATGATTGAGTGTCCACCATGTGCCAAACTGTATACTTTTACCTATTATCTCATTTCATCTTCACAATAACTTGACGCTATAGATATGCTCCTCTGCATTATACTGAGGTTTAAGGAAATTTAATTACTTGCCTAAGTTCTCATAACAAGTAACTGCCAATCCAGGCTATGAACCACATCTATCTGAGTGTGAAATGAATGAATTTTCCACGATGTCTTGCTGCCTTTATACAGAGGATCCTATAAAATCCTTTACAGGACTTTAAAATTTGTAAAGGCCAGTGGCCATGTCTTATTCAGCATCATGCCCCTTCCTTTGGAATCTAGAATAGCTCCTGGCCTATACAGGATCTGCAAAATATATACTGTAAAAACAGACCAAGGAAGATACTAACAATGTCTTTGTTGTACAGCCTTTCATGTTCAATCACCCAGGAACTAAAGACGCTGCCAGTACCCTCGGAGTCTCAGTGGGGCACATGGTTTGGGCTGGGGAGCTCAGATGCTATCCTAAGTGGGTGATGACACTCGTATGTAGAATGACTTAAGCAACCACTCAGAATTCTGGCTGAGAAGAAAAGAAAAAAGCCCAACTCCTCTGCTTCCAGTCTACTCCAGTTTGAAGCACAGGAAAGGAGAAGAGTTCAACGTGGTCTTGATAGAATCCACAGTAATCTTAAGAATGTTCCGTTCATGCATCATGGCAGCTCGCATAGGTTCCAAAGGCCACCTAACTACATATATGTAACTGTGAAGTAGCCAGTCTCTATGCACAGTGAAACTAGAGTAAAATTTGGAAATAGGGTTGCTGAGCTCACATGGGCTGGCTTTTTGCATTAACATCATGTGTGTCTGATGATAAAGAAACAACACAGCTGCTAGTCCAACGGTTAGAGACATAGACCTCTTCTTGAACCTCTGGGTTATGGGCTGGCTTTTCTTCCCTGTCCTGGCCCCTCCTCTTCTTCATCACCCTCCTCCTTGTTGAAGGCACACTCCTGGATCTGCCGGTCCAGCTCGGAGAAGCTCCCTTCCTGGTCTGAGCTGCTGTCTGTACTGTAATCAATCTCCTCTAGGCAGGCGGGCTCATCATCCAGTTCTGAAGTGATGCTGCTGCTGCTGCTGCTGCATCTGCCATGAGTTCCCAGAAAGGAAGGGAGAGGGAGGAAAAATACAGAGGGGAAGGGAAATAGAAAGAGAGAGATGGAGAGAAACGAGGGGGAAACAAAAAGAGAAGTTACTCAAAGGAAGGAATGTTTACAACTGGTTGGAAAAGGAGGGGTAAGAGTTATCTTCTCTGAGCTTTAATCTCAAGAGCCCCTGCTCCTTTAAGTATTGCATGCACCGTACTCTGTATATGTTCTCATCCACTACCTTGAGATGGGAGAAGGAAATCATATAAAATCTATGGGTTTCCTTCTTCTTTTGCCAGCAGAGTCTGTATTTCTAAGTCCAATCAGAAGATTTCCAATCACAAGACGTGGGCAGCCTCATACATTTAACGTCTTCAGCGTCCTTTATACTTGAAGTGAAAAATTAGAGAAGGCCATCATTGAGTACCTGAGAATGCCAAGTCATCTACACCCAGGAAAGAGTGGGACTGGAGTCCAGATAGGTAAGACTCAAAATCCCTAATGTTTCCCGTTCTAACTGACAGCACTGTGAGTCATATTGCATAGCGCTCCTTCATCGTGATGAGTGATTTATTGGAATTAGAAAATTAATCCAGGTTGGAATTAATAAGGGAGAGAGTAAGTGGGGACATGGCATGCTCTTCTACTATATTTGTGCTTCCTCATCATCTCCCCAACCTCCCGCCATTTTATTCACAAATGGAAAAATCAGCATGGGTTGACCAGCAAGAGACAGGAGGAGGCAATAGGAGTGGACACCAGACCTTGACCATGTATTGTGAGCAGGGAAAATTTCCTCCCAAGTAAGTGTATGCCTCCCTTATTTGCATGAGGTACCTTCTTTCCTGAAGACTTTTTAATCACTCCCTACTTAGGACTTAACCAATTAGGATTAGCAGCGTGCTGGGTTTCTACTCTGTGATTTATAGAAGGCAAGCACTTCATAAATTAGGCAGAGCTGTTCATCCACCTGCCTCGCCATAAACAATGAAAATGGATAATCAACGGCGTGGTTACATGTGAGCTCCGGAAATGCATCTGAGGCCTGTTTCTTAATTGTCTACTGACTGATGTGAGCTGCTTCCACGCTCTTCAGGCCCTCAGTACCCTAAACTGAAGGTCTGGTGGGACACTGCCCGAATGGAGAGGAAGAGGAAGAAATATGAACCTTGTTTCCACAGCACCACAGCATTAAATCATCACCATATTTTACAGGCTGATTGGTGGGTGATAAAGGAGCTGAGTAAGGGAAGGTAAGAGATGCCCAGCTGTAACACGACATCAAGTCAGCAAGAACACTGAATGCCTGTGACTCACTTGTCACCATGCTAGGTACTGAGATGACAATGCTGTGCAATGCCAAAAGCTTGAGTTTAAATTCTGTCTATGAGACATTGGAAAACTCCTTAATCTCAGAGAATGGCAATAAAATACCTCAAGAGTTGCTGTGAATACTAAATGAGAAAATACATGGATGCTATCTAGCAGAGTGCCTCACAAAATAAAAGCAATCAACACATTTTCATTCCACTGCTCCACTGTGGATGCTAAAGATGGCGAAACACGATGTTGAAGGAGAGCCTGCATGGAGATTTCTTGAATCATACCTGGGCTACTGCAATAACTGCTGCAAAACCATCCAAAACTGGCACTACTAATAATTTCTCTGAAACATCATGTTTATGATGCTATTTCCAAATTCAGCAACTTGCAACGGCTTGCCCTTGCTTATTAATGCAATGTGAGTATCAATGCGATGTTCCTAAAGGGTCCAATTGGTGGGAGTCTATGAGTAACAACTAGGTCAGTCTTCCCCTGATAAGGCCCTGATTTCCTCCACCGTGGGGTCTGTTCCAGTCACTCACAGACATGAGCCTTTCCCACCACAGTCAACTTGTGAGGCTGTTCTTGTCCTGACCATTCAAATATTGCAGACTGAATGTTTTCCTAAGCCTTTGTTCCTACAACCAATTTCCTACCTCTGAAATGATTTTCCAATTCCTCAATATCCAACCAAACAAAATACATCATTTTTTAAAAGTTCATTTTAATATCCGCCAAGTGACTGTTTTGATAACTCCATCTCTTATTGAAATGTCCTTCCTCTAAGTATTAATCTTCATGTATTCACTTTATTTGTATTTATCCTTAATAATATTTATAGTCTTATTGTGAATAAGGCCCATGTCTCTGTCTGATTAATATTTATGTTATCCTGTGAACACCTAGAATGTGCTGAGAACACAGTAGATATACATATATATGTATATCTACATATATATATACACACACATATATGTATATGTAGATATACATATATATCTACATATATATATATATATAAAGAGTTGCCAAATTGAACAAAGAACAGGTATATATGTAGAAAAATCTATATTTTGGACCATCCTCTGGGGAATTAATTTCTCTCTGAATCTTTTTCAAGGATTTTTATATACGAATTAAGCAATAATTATCATATCAGTTTTAATGATTTCAAACAAAAATGGTTTCCTTTGTCATTCATATATAAATAAAATATAAATATAATATATTATAAAATTATTATATATATATATAAATTAAGAAGGCCTGAAATAGTTTAATTATGTCTCTCACTTATTTGCCCAAATGCAGTGTAAGTATTCTGTAAATTAAGGAATCAAAATACATATTTGGAAACTTCCACTTCCGGACAGATGGAAAACTATTTCTCTCTTTTGCTATTTATAACTTACACTGACTATGATATATAAAACAAACGTAATAAAATTGTGAAATGTGGATGAAATATTGAGAGAAGGGGTCAGACCAAATATTAGAGCCTTGGGACTTAAAGGCCAATATGGTGGCGAGTTCCCCAGCTTTTCTTTTTGTCTCATATAGCCTGGACTTGGAGCTGGAAAAGCCGACAACCTAGAAATGCTAACTAGTACAAATAAAAAGAGGTCTAACAAGAGTTTATTCTCTCTAGCCAAATGATGAGGAAAAGGGCATCCTAGGAAGAAAGACAAGTGTTAAACTATAGTAGCTCTATGCCAGCCAAACATCACAGAAAAATCAGTGGCCCCACCCTATCCTGCCAACAACAGTGAGGAGCCTAGACATCTACTTTCACCAGACTGGAATGAGGTGCCCCAAAACCCCTCCTTTTCCCCATGCTGAGACGGTATCAGGGAAGGCAGAACAGGGAGCCAGAACTTTCTACCCTGATGTACAATAATGAGGTCTCCTACCACATCAGTAACAGTGGAGGCCATGTGAGGAGCCTGGACTTCCACACACAACTGTTAGTAACAAGACTATCCCCCACCAGTGTCAGTGGAGAGCAGTAACAAGGTACTCTGACTGCTTCCATTCAGAGTGGTATTAGGGAAGGCAAAGTGGGGAGCTGGAACTCTCATGACTGCCCAACAGTAACAGGAGCCCTCACCACCCTTCGTGTCATTGGGGCCTAATGGGGAACCTAGATTTTCACTCCCACCTAGCAGTAACAGGGGTCCCTTCTCCTGTTTGAGTGTTGTCAGAGAAGACCGGTTCCAACAGAAGATTTAAATCTATTGTCTCATAGCATAATGTCCAAAATGTCCAGGTTTCAATAGAAAATTACTCACTATACCAAGAACCAGGAGAATCAATAGATGCCAACACCAAGGTGACACAGGTGTTAAATTATCTAACAAAGATTTTAAAGCAGACATCATATAAATGCTATATTGAGTAATTATGGGAAAACATGAAAAAAATTAGAATGTCTCAGTAAAGAAATAGAAAATCTCAGCAAAAAAGAAAAAAATGGAAGATGTAAAGAAGAATCAAATAAAATCATAAAGGTGAGAAATATAACAACAGAAATATAAAACATGGCAAAGAAACAGAAAGTCTCAGAAAATAAATAGAAGATACAAAGAGGAACCAATTGGAAAGTTCAGAATTAAGAAATACAAAATGCTAAAAACAAATTCAATAGATGGGCTCAACAGCAACGTGGAAGGAACAGAGGAAAGAATCAACGAACTTGAAAATAGAACAATAGAAATTACTCAATCTGAACTGAGTGAAAATTAATTAAAACAATAAACAGAATATCAAAACCCTGTGGGACTATAACAAAAAATCCAACATTCACTTCATCAGAGTTCCAAAAGAAAGAGAAGCTGAAAAAGTATTCAAAGAAGCAATGACTGAAAACTTCCTAAACTTTGCAAAAGACATAAACCTACAAATACAGGAAGCTGACCAAACCCCAAACAAATAAACACAAAGAAATCCACATCAAGATAGTCATAACCAGTTTTCTGAAAAGTAAAGACAAATTAAAAATCTTGAGAGCAGTGAAAGAGAAACTTTAGGGGAACAACACTATAGGGAAAAATAATTTGAATGATAGCACAGTTCTCATCCAGAAAACACAGGAGTTGCAAGAAAATGGAACACATTTTTCAAATATTAGGAGAAAAGCACCACCAATCTAGAACTCTAAAACCAGCAAAAATTTCCTTCAGGAATGAAGGGAAAATAAAGACATTCTTATAGGAAATGAAATTTTAAGAATTTGTTACCAGCAGACCTACTTTAAAAAGAAGGCTAAAAGAAATCCTCTAAACAGAACTGAAATAATAAAAGGAGGGATTTGGGAAGATAAGGAAGAAGAAAGAACAACAAAAGAGTGAAAATATAGATAAATACAATACATTTTTCTTTTACTCGAGTTATTAAAATTACGTTTGACAGTTGAAGCAAAAATTATGCAATTATATGATGTGGTTCTTACTGTATTATGTAAATATTTAAAATAATTACATAACAAATGAGAGGGTAAAGGAATGGACAGGGAGGTAAGCTTCTACACTTTGCTTGAACTGGTAAAAATGTGACACCAGTAGGTTGTAGTAAGTCATGTGTATATAATGTAATATCTATAGCACTAAAAGAATTATACATAGAGATACACTCAAGATCCTACAGATAAATCAAAATGAATTCTAAAAAATGTCCATT